AAAATTGCTGATGTCTCCAAGTGGACAATAATTCATTAATTTTTCTTTGTGGTATTGGTTGAATTATTTAGCTCCAAGCTATGAGGAAAATTTGAAGGAGCACGTTCTTATCTATTAGACCAGAAGTACTTCTGAGCACCCTGGAGTTCCTTTCAGAAAATGTAGCTCAAAAGGAGAAATTCTGTCGTTCATGTGGGTTGAGGGATATAGCCTAAGAAAGAGATGAGAATGTCATATATGTCTGTTTTCCCATGTTTTGAACTGAGGCAAGTACACTAGAAACAGAGAACTGCCGGTTTATCACAGGGGGAGGGGACTCCATGCTCTATTTTCAGTGCATTACAGCTCTTTTTTGAAGGCACTGTTTTGTACACTAAATACAGGTCAGGCTGAGAAAAGAGTAGATCTAGTTACTCAAAATTTTGACTCAACTTGCTGCTGAGCAAGTAAGTTTATTTTCTTGTGTTTGAAGCACAAATAGTGCTTGCAGTGTTGCAAAATGGAATAGGCATAAGGGAGTAAAACTGGGAAGGCAGGAACTTGGAGACAGTCCCAGTAGTGGATCTCTTACAAAGTCTATCAGCTTTCATATGGCTGCAGTCAGCAGCACGGTATTCAGAGAACGCAGAGATGGAGCAAAACAAGGGGTAGTCATGCTATCTCTAAAGCAAGTTAGCTTTAATAGCACAATAATAAACCTGTATTATTATTGTTCTCTATCTCAGCTAATTATTCTGCTCAAAAGCTGTGATGAGCTGTGTCCTGGCATGGGTAGACTCGTTATGGTACCTAAATTAGCTCAGGGGTCTCATCGCATGCTGGTATGTTATAGTGGACAGACATTTTCATTTTCCAGGAGTTAAGGACTAATAGATTCACTTTGGATGGTCTGCACTCTCATAATTTTTTTCTGATTTATTTAGAGATCACTGCAAATAAAGGCATTTATTTGCTCTCCTTGTAATAGGCTCTCCTTGAGATAGGCAGGGAAATGTGCGTTCCTTTTGCTTGCCTTCTTTTTAGACAAAACTGCTCAGAAAATTGACAGATAGGAGGAGCTTTGAAGGGAGGAGAGCGGGTAGCTTCCTAGGAACCTTCAATGATATTCATTGGCATTCTTTCAGCTGATAGGGGAGGGGGGAAAGAAGGAAACAGAGCTAACATGCAAACATTACAGGATCCTGTTGGTATTCAAGGACACTCTAGTGTAAACATACCTTTCTTTTCTATCAAGCACATTAAACAGCCAAAACATCACTGCATTTAAGGGAGCTGAGAAATCAGGTCTCACAAATTGCTATATATTTTCACAGACTCAGCTTGATGTCCTGTAGCCTGCTGCTCCCTTTGTTTCTGTTTTTGATTTTATGACAGGTGGACTAGATCCTTTCAGTTTTCAGTTGTGTTCCCTCTATAGGCAAGTGTACACTGAGTTTGTGTGACACCTGTGATATTTCTTTGGCACTCTTAAATGAAAAAAGAGTTTGCAGTTACAATTATTTATTCATGCTTTAAATACATACTAATTCATGCTTTATCTAGATAAAGCAAAAATCAGTGTAAAATAAAAAAAATCTTGGAACAGATTTGCTACTCACAATTAAATTGCCTCATAAAAAATACATTAAAAAGCATTTCCTAATAAAACATCTATTCTTAAATGGAATTTTTAACGAAGCACTTGGTAACATTTAGTGAAAAAGCCCTTAGGAAGGGAGGTACCGCAAGGACTCTGTTTGCGTCAGGACTTGGAAAAAATCTCTTTGGAAATGCAGAAGACATTCGCAATTGTAATACCTAGATCTATTTGTTCTTCCACAGGATCAGTCTTTAATGGCCAATTTAACTCTTCTAGTTTGGGCATAAAAAAAAAGTGTATTAGTTATACTAGAAAAAGACACTAAGTAACTCTAGATTTCCTGCTTACCACATGGAAAAAAATATGTCTCGGATATAGAGACAGTTCTAATTATTTCTATACAAAGATTTTTCTACCTTGTATCTTAGAAAGGTAAAGTGTTTGCTCTGTGGTCTCAGCTACTGCAAACTGCTACTTTTTGTAAAGGACAGATGAGGTTTTGGTAGTGTTTTTCATATAAAAGTAGATAGTGTCTCTTCAATGCCTCATATTATGTTATTTGGAGCTACGTATTGGTATTCTTCCAAAACTGGGATAATATATTTTTTTCTCTTTTGTAGATATGTGAGTCACAAAATTGGCAGGTACCCGATTAAGCAGTGCATTGTAAAGATGTAAGCATCCTGCAGCCAACAAGCTGCTTCTTGCAGCCAGTGCCCCGTGGGCTGGGAGCGCCCCAAACCTGCTTTCATGCAGTCACAGCAGTTGTAACGCTACTTAGGGAAAAACACCTGGGCGAGCCTGGCGGTGGAGACAGACGGCACTGTGAGCCGGTCCCCGCCACATGCAACTGCCCAGTGCCCTCCAAAGACCTGGCCCTGGCCCAGGTGACCTTCCCACCCACTCTGTCATCAGCTCTTCTTGGAAGACGCGCCTGCCACAGTGACGGTGGCAGTGGGTGAGGTTACACCACCGGGTCTGGTTCATGTCCTGGTGCAGCCAGGCGGCTGCCTTCTGGGTTTGCTTTGGGGAAGGACATCCCCATGTCCAGGGAGGCCAGGCCCAGGACTTCTGCTGCCCCAGCCAGCAGTGCCCCTGATACCCCACATCACATCCAGGTTTCTTTTGGATTTCAGCCTTCTACCAGAAGCACTGCAGAGAGCAGGGAGGTTACTGTTTCTGAGCACCTCCAGTCTGGGACAGGTTACACCCAGATGTCCTTTTTTGTGTGTTTGTTTGTTTGTTGCTGTTTTACAGGATAGTAAAGAAGCTATGGGAATGGGAGCAACCAAAACTAGGTGAACTGAGTCGCAGCAGTATGAGAAAATCCTCCTCCTGACTGCCTGTTTTGGTAGCCTGCCTGAGGCGGCCCCCTGCCTCCTGGGATGCTGCTGGCATGTTATGTGTCCTGCCTCCAAGCCTCGTGGATGCTTCCAGTAAAGAAGAGTTTAGGCTAAAATGTATCTTATAAGTTGAACTTTAGGCCAGTTTTTGCTGGCAGCCCCTTTCAGACTCCTTCTTAGGCAGCTGTTTATAGGATCGGCAACACGGTTGGAAAGGCCTAGAGCAGATGGGAGGTTTTGGGCATAAGGGAGAAGAAGGACACTAGATAAAACTGAAATTGCAGTGAAACAGTTGAAATGGCGCAAGATTCATAAACCAAGGGGATGTGAGTGAACTGTAAACAAAAAGGGAAAGGTTTTGACAGGCAGATGGGAGGGAAAGGAGAGCTGGGAGTTGGTGACTATTTCTCTGTTCTAATAGCAGCCTTGGAGTCCCTTGGGGCCTGAGGGAAGAGAGGGTGAGCACAGAGGTGTCACCCATCAACAGCAGGATAGCGTCAGAGGCTGGAGGGCTTTTATGTCTGCTTGAGATGGGAAGAGCTGGACACTTGGCTGTTTACTGCTTGCATGCTCTCATGTGGCTGACTGTACCTGGGAGCCTCAGGCTGTTACAGCGGCAGGAGTGTAGCCCATTTTCTGGTCCTAACTGCCCAGGCGTGCATGCGATAATGTATGTGTAGGTTGCGGAAATGTAAGATGGCCGCCAGAGAAAGTAGAATAAATAAAACCGTTTTTAGTGAACAGGGACACTTTCCTCCACTTGTGTGTCCAAAGATGCCTGTTCAACTGGGAACGTGTGCTCCCCGTGCGGACAGGCCAAGCGGTGCAGACTGGGTGAACATCGAGAGTGTGGCCAGTAAAGCCTCAATCCGGTCCTACAGGGACTGAAAGGTTTCACTTTGGAGATTAAAGCAAATAAATTTGCAAGTTATTAAATAATAGAAATTGTAAATCACTGAGTTCCAGAAGGAACTTTCACTCAATGGTGTGCACTACATTTAAGTTTAGTTATAATTATCCTCATGGTTGTTTGGGCTGTGATAATTTACAGCACGCATGCAGCATCGCGTTGGTTAGAAGCCAACACCTTAGAAATGCATAGCGTAGGCAAGGAGGTGAAGTCTGCAAACGCCCAGTAGACTGAACTGCCTACTCCATCTACATACACAATTTAAAAAATGTCAGACTGGGCTTGTTACACTGAGAGCAGACACTTTGATCTCTTTGAGCAGTATTTGCTCCTAAAGACTTAAAATATTGAATAAATAATAATATTTGCAGTTGCTATGCCAACGCATTTGCTCAACACCGACATGTCATAACATAACTTACCTACTTTGAAAATTGATGTATTCATATCCTGAGTAAGTTTTCAAAATAAAACAGTTCCGACTTTGGATCAAAAGCAAAGATCAAATTTCCCT